GAACAAGGAGAAATCTCTGTTGACTTCCGAGGAGAAGAGGACCTTCGACTCTCACTCAAAGTCCCCGAGGTCCCCGAGGTCTCCAAGACCTCCCAAAGCACTGACTCCTCCCAAATCCCCTGAAAGACCAGCAGTATCTCAATGCGATCGTTCCATCTGTCCTGCGTACGCAGCCGTCGACTGCTCAAAACGCTCTAAACACAAGAAGCCGAAGCCAAAGCAGAATGTCTCCACCGACAATCGTCGGATGACAGGCAACGTCAACATCTACATCTGCTCTGAGGCGAACGAAAACGCGAAACGCAAGTCCCCGGAGAAGGACAAGTGTAGCGAGGAGTCTGTATCTGAATCCGAGATGAATTCAAGCCCAAGCGCATCGAGTGTATCAACCAGCAAGCTCGTGGACGCATTGAAGAAGAAAAGAAGAAAGATCATGGAGGCCCAGGAGCTGGAGTGCCTCTGCGAGGAGCCTGAGGACGCTGTTGCGACGGAGAAGTCCACGAAGAGAATGTCTGAGGCGCCTGACGAGATGTCGTCCTTCAGCCGGCTGAACTACTCGAACGATAACGTCTCCAGCGAGGATTATCTGGACGGCTGCAGTCTGGAGAACTGTCCAGCGCTGTCTAGCAACGACTTCGATCGGTACTCGGCTTACGGTAACGATGACTCCTGGGACCCGCGGAGAAATTCAACGCGGAATTACTCGTTTCTACCTGCTGAGAGGGACGTGCCTGTCCGAGATACCTTCAGAGAGGATGTCTGCTGCCCTTGTGAGCAAGCAAAGTCATCTAGGGCGCCGTGCGTCTGCGGGTCTCAACAGAAAGTTCACTCTGTAGCCACTAATTACCCTGAGAACGGTTTGGTCCGTTGTGATGAGCAGGCGAAGGAAGTGGAGGACAATCAGTGCTGCGGGACGAAGAATGAGCCTGAGGGATTCACTGTTTGTACAAATGAACCTGTCGAGTTCACAGTCTGCGGTCCTCCTGAGACCACAGTTGAGGAGACAGTAGAGAAGACTAGTCCAATTGAACTCTCGAATGAATCCCTGAAGGAGGAAGAATTGCCAACCGAGAGGGAAGATTCAACTCAGAAAAAAGAGAGCGACGCTTCCGAGGTTCTGCCAACGGAGCCGACAGATTCTGGCGATAAAAAACGAGAGTCCTTTGTCCTCCGATCGTGGAGGAGAGCCATGACTATAGTTAAACGTTCTAGAACGTCGGGTCCAGAAGCTGATGACTCAGAGAAAAGCAAACTCTCTCAAGAACCGAAAGAATCAGAGAATTCAGAATTGAAGATGAAGGATCAACAACCTCTTAAAGTAGAACCAAAAAGCAACTCTTCTAGTACTCTTTCCCAGTCGAGCAGAAACCGCCGAGGAAAGTCGAAGATTCTGGCCAAGATATCCGACAAACAAAAGCAGAAACGAGGATCTCACAGTGACTCGAAGCTTTCTGATTCGAGTATTCAAAAACCAGAAGCTGTCCCGAGTCCCGAGAGCCTCGAAAAGCCCCGAGAGGAAGATAAACCGGAAGTGGATTGCGAATGTACACCCGAAGAGCCAAAAATCGTTCCCTGCACGTTCATCCAAGCGGAGGAGTCTCAGCCCGAGGAATGCTGTCCGTCTTGCAATAAAAAGAAGATGAGCTGCGTGTGTTGTCAGACGTGCTGCAGACCGCAGGAGGCGGGCGAATGCAGATGTCACGAGCCTCAAAGGGAAACGAAGTGCTGCACATGCCAGCAGGAGACGTCTTGCTGCACTTGCAGGCAGCCGGTCTTCAAAGCACCGAAACCCCGTAAAATGGCTTGCGGGACGTGCTGCAATCCTATAAACTGCTGCACGTGTCGTGCGCCAGTCAGGAAGTGCTCTTACTGCGGAATGCCCAGCGACTTCTGCAATTGCCAGCCTCCGTGCGCCAAAGGCCGATCAATGCCGGACCAAAACAAGTTGGTTATTACTTTCATTTGGGTTCAGAGCAGGTTTTTTGGGGATAAATTAACCTTTTGGGGCTGAATCTGCGTGTTATGTGATAACAGTTATCGAAGAAATCGATGAGTTATTTAGAAAATGACTCCCGATCCGTTTTGCCCTACCTTCCCCTATATAAATATCCGCATAAGACATGTATAAATTTTCTTGTAGTTAGTAATTACACTTGGCAAAAGTAAATTTTTTTGTCACTGTCTGACCTTAAATTTAAACAATTCCAATGCTTCCATTTGCTAGCAACAATGGAATCCGGGGGAATTGGAAACCGAGACCGGGAATTCCATCCCGTTTTCCAAGAGACCGTCTCAATCGAGAGAATCCAGATAATTGCCACTGCGATCAGTCGAAACCGTACGGCTCAGAGGAGCTACCGTACCAGAAGCTCAACGTCTTCTCGAATGTTATGACTGAACTGCAGCAAAAGATCAGTGACTCTGTCAACTGCGATAAGTGTAACAACACTTCATGCTGTTGTCCAAAAACCGCAAGATGTCTGAAGTAATATCTCGGCCATATCTTACACGCGCAGCACGAATGAGACGACGCACGAATGATCCGACAATACGTTGGAATGATTTAAAAAAATTTAATTTTCAGTACGATTGCAGAGAGGCCAAGTTCACCGAATCGCAATGACTCCGCCCTTGATTGCAAGTGCCCCCGAACAAAACGAAAAACAACGACATTTGCTGTTTGCGACAATTGCCGGACGAGTCCTTGTCGTTGTCGCAGAGATAAGAGGCCTCAGGCTAAATGTTTCTACTGTAAAACTATGCCATGCCGGTAATCATTTGTTATAATGTACTTCTTGAAAGATTTTATCAAGTTACAGTTAACTGGAATTCCACGTGAAGTTCCGAGGAATTTCGACGTTGAAAATTCATGGGTTAATGAAATAATCAATGTGTGGAATTTCAGATCAATTGTTTCATGAAAATTAATGAAAAAATTGGTAAATATATTCTTGAATATTCGTTTTCGACTGAGAATTCCAGGTAGTTGGAGAATTCTAGTCTTCCCACAGTAAAAAAATTTGCAATTCCATTGAATTTTTTTAATGAAATTTAAAATTTATTGAAAATTATTAAGATTAGATTGATTCGAGAGTAGAGAATAGCCGAGGGAAATTGCCAATAGTTTTTTCATGTTCAAGTCATTTTTCGAGCAAAAAAATGAGACTTAACTCGTCTAAATTGTATTATTTATTTGGAAAATTGACGTCAACTTAAACTTCTGAATTAATCAGATGTAATTGGAAGTACGAACAAACTCGTCCCCAGTTTGATGAAGATTTTGGGAAGAGGAAGCCTAGGGGATGCAGGTGTCCATCCCCAAACAGAATGACTAAAGGAAAAGATTTCATGCCCCAGAGGCATAGACCCCACAAGAACTGGATCGATTGATCAATCCCGAGGCGTGTGACCTTACAATAACGCAATCTGCGTACGTACCTCAACCCATTTTCTGAGAATTCGAATAATATTATCAGATTTATTTTTTTAAGCTTCGAAATGAGAATTTACATTATTTCATTAGAAGTCGTTGACAATCTGAGACGATTCGCTTTACCTCATCCTCTACTGTAAAATTTTGAATTCATAATCATTTCTAATACACTGACAGAATGATTAATTTATTCCAAACGAGATTCGTTAACTATTAACGAATAGTAGAGTTGAATATGACCAAATAAATATTCTTTAATAGTTAACGAATGTTTCACTTAAAAGGTGAAAGTCGAGTCAAACAAGACACCTCGAATATGGATTCGTTAACTATTAACGAATGAACATTTGGTGAGACCAACTAGACCCTAGGCTTCACCCAAATCCATTTGTTAACAATAACTAATCCTGTCTATCAGTATATTCAAGTTAAAATTCTGAATCAATCGGATGCAACTGGAAGTGCGAAGAAAATCATCCCCAGTTTGCTGAAGATTTTGGGAAGAACTAGATCAACTGATCAATCCCACAAGAACAAGATCGATTGATCAATTCCGAAACGTGTATTGACCTCACAATAACGCAATCTACGTACATAGCTCAACCCATTTTCTGAGAATTCGAATGATATTATCAGATTTATTTTTTCATATCTTCGAAATGAGAATTTACATTATTCCACTTGAAAATGTTGTCAATCTGAGACGATCCGCTTTACCTCATTCCCATTTTGACGAAGATTTTTGGGAAGAGGAAGACTAAGAGCTGCAGCTGTCCATTCCCAAACAAATCAAATAAAGGTAAACCCTTCATTCCATATCACAGAGACATCGACCCTACAAGAACCAGATCGATTGATCAATTTGGATCAAGGTATCCGTAGATCCTACAGTGACGGCATTCACCTACATAATTCACCATATTTTTGGGAATTCCAATAACACAATCCCAGCTATCATCGAAAAACACGTGTGCTTCAACAAACTGAGCTTATCAGTCCCTCAAACATTAACAAAACTCGTGAGCGAAAATAAAATGAAAAGTGATAGTTGCTCTTGTGGATTGAGAACCTCTGGTACATGTTTCCCAGAAGAAATTACCGAAGATGTTGGAGGCTGAGGGAGGCATGCAGGGCTCTCCTGCGCCAGCAGGTGCGACCACAACTCAGTGGCAATGTTAAAACCTTTAAGCATGCACCTGCACTGTGCAGTCTACGGCAAAGAAAAATAACAGCGACAAATAGTTTAGACTGTAACACGTCGCACACCAGAACGTAGCATACCACGTGTCGACCTAGTATCCACCGGACCATGAGGACATCCTCAGGTGTTCGTTAGTCAGTTCAATCACACATTAACGATTACTTTGTTTTTGTTTTAATGAACGAGGTAGACCAGTTGTCGAACTTAAAGAACAAAAAAGCGAGTGTTTGTTTTCTTTATTGCTCTATTCCCTTGGATATCGTGCTTACGATTCTCTTAAAAGTGCGGATAACAAGGAGTAGGGGATAACTTTTAGTTGTCCACATATAAGATGCTGTGCCCCGACCTCTGTTAGTCTTGAATAAACCGACCACTTGGGTGAACAATCGCTCACTCTCTCTCTCTCTATTTCTCGCTGAGTTTTTTCATTTCATTAGTTTGTGATCTGGGGTGCTAGTAGTGTGAACAATTAACTATGGATGTGAGTAGTCGTGAGGCCCGGGTTTACAGCAAAGTACTCAATAAATCAAGATGTGATTCGTCGGTCAAGGGGTTGACCCTTGGGGAACTCATTCAAGAACTCCACAATGCATTCAACAGCGATATCGTTGATATCGATAATGTTCAGAAATTAATCTCGTCGTACAGGAGCAATCCCCATGATTGGAAGAAATACGCTAAGTTCGATCGTTACAGGTGAGTGGGGAACTGGGAATTGTTTGAATTCTCATCACGATTTCTTTGGAGTATAACGGGTTGAGGATGGATAAGTTGAGTGTGAGAATTTGACTTGGCATGTTCTGAGAAAGGAGAGATAGTTTTTTTAGAATGGTAGAATGATTGGTTTATTCTAACGAAATTCGTTGACTATTAACGAATTGCAGAGTTGAATGTGAGCTGATTAATAATAAAATGAAAATTGAGTGAAACGAGGCTCTTCGCGTTTGGGAATTATTGATGAATGAATATTTGGTGAGATCGAATAGAGAATGAAACATTTGTTGATTATTGCATTATATTGCATTTGGATTATTGGATTTTATTCCTACAGTTTTTGTAAATTTAATTTTTTTATTTTCTTGAAAGTTCTGGGAAAGGAGAGATAATTTTCTTACGCTGATAGAATGATTCATTTATTCCAAACGGGATTCGATAACTATTAACGAATGATAAAGTTGAATATGACCAAATAAATATTCGTTGATAGTTAACCAATGGTTCACTTGAAAAGTGAAATTCGAGTCAAACAAGGCTCTCTAAATATGCGTTTGTTAATTATTAATCGATTAATGATTGAAAAGAGAATGAAAAATTTTTTGATAATAAAAAACAGGAGAACTCTAGGAACTATTTCGTGAAAATATTGCAATTATTACTAGGATTATTGCATTTTATTCCTCTAATTTCTGTAAATTTTATTTTTCATTTTCCTCCTCATATATAAAACTGAACTCAATTCTTTTTTTTTCGGGGATTATCAGTATAAAGTCAACTCTGTCACAATCATCCCTGCTATCACGTTGAGGCCAGAATAATCCAGAAGACTCATACAATCACATCGTGTTTGTTATCATTCCCCAGCTTCTCTATTGTTACCACCGATCAACTCTACGGAATTTTGAAATATTAATGAATTCACGTTCGTTAGTGCGTCACTTTTAATTTTTATTTCAAAACATAATTATTCCAGAGGATGATAGCAAACAAGCCAGTGAAAAACTTGCTTATCACAGAAGGTTATCCATTTCCCCTGTATTGTGTAAACCGATTGAGACAGAAAATCGAGTGAAAAAAAAATTTTAAAAACAAGTGTAGAATTAAAACAGCTGTGTACCACTTATGAAGCAACATCACTGAGCACAAATAAACGTATAAAGCAGTCTTACTTTCGTAAACAATTGCCCCCCTCCCGACAGATTGAAAAGTCGTGTAATTATCTCCACTCAGTGAATGTCCCAAGTATTTCAGCCGGTGATTTCCTCCACTATATCATTCCCCCATCGAGATATGTTCGAAGAAATGAGTGAAACTAGGCAATTACGGTGGCACCTGGACGCGGTCGAGATTTAACATTAGGATAAATGTATTTGCGTGTAGAACATGAATGATAATTTATCAAGTGGATGATGTGATTCTCCAGGTATACGAGGAATTTAGTGGACGAGGGCAATGGGAGATTTAACCTGATGGTGTTGTGTTGGGGAGAGGGTCATGGATCAGCTATTCACGATCATGCTGATGCTCATTGTGTTATGAAAATACTGCAGGGAGAGTTACGTGAGGTAAATTGGCTGGGGAGGGGGTAATGAGGAGAAATTGTTGAAAACATGTTATTCTGTTTAAAGTAAATTTTAAATCGTTAAGTTTGGAGAAAAAAGTCGAAAGATATTTGTTTGTTGTAAATTTCATGGCAAAATAAAAAAAGTTGGTTGATAATTCTCTTTCATTTGAATAGTTCCCGATCTATTTCCGAAATGACGAAACAAAAAAACCATCTATTGACGAATGTGCATATTATTCTGCGAATTTTTCGTAAGCTATTCAAGAAAAAATGTAACGAAAAATTTTTATAGCGATTTTTTAGGCTACGTAAGAGATGTTCTAAAATATTTCTCTAAACCAAATTGTTTCATTAACAATAGAGCGTATTGGAGAGGCGTGTCTCCTTGAGTTCGCTCGATCCTGCGTTACTGCTGACTAACATCTTGTTTATTTTCATGTGTTTTGTTTATTGCTTTGCCTATTATGCATTCCGATACAATTATTAGTAGAAATAGGTCGACTAGATGTAGACGGCTGTCAAGAGCCTGATGAAGCTGAAATAATTTAGCGAAACGCCGCACTATGACGATTTAAGGATATCCAAGTACTTTGGCTATTTTTTCTGAAGTGAAATGCTTTTCTACTTTTTTAGTCGAACATCAGAGCTTTTATTTGAGCCCCGCTTGACCCTAAGTTTCCGGGAATTTCACAATGATTTCATTATTTAAATTTTGTAGGTCTGAATTTGAATCTTAATACTAAACCGTTAGAAAATATTTTTTAATTAAAAAAAAAAAATTAAACAGTTTACTTTTTGAGGAAGTTTGATTAAAAGATTACAAAATCGCAATTTTTGAAAATTACAAGCATTTCTGTAAATAATTTATAAACAATCAATTTTTCACCATAAAAATAATTTGTTCTGAATCGTAACAAATTTATTCATATTCAGAATTTTACCAGAAATTCATTTAATGCCTAAAAAATTAAATTTTCGAAAGTTTAAACAGTTTTAATTACTTATTTATAATGAAATAACAATTCTGTGCAAAATGTAATTTAAATAACGCTGAATATTCGTGATTTTGCTTTGAATTTTTCTCACACAATTGAATTGACAAACTTGATGATTGAAAATGGTTGAATCTATAGTGCGGTCTGTACCAAACTGGAAAAGATACTTGGGCATCCTTAATCAACGTCATAATTATTTCTCCAATATCCCCAGACCGTCCTTAAATTAATTAACAACACGGAGATGAGAGCAATTGTTAAACGCAATATTATTTTGTAAATATTTCTGTAACTATCAGATTTAGATAAAAATATCAGAAGACATTGTCGATTTGTCGTGAAATTCTCTACAAAAAAGCTCTTTCGACATATTTCTCTGGACCCAATAGTTCCAATGATGCTTTCAACAAAGTTTAATGAAATATTCTAACAATAGCTGATCCATCAAGCAATCACCACAAATTATTGTCACACTAAAATTGTAGACGCGATACGCATGGCCATCGACCGAATTCACCGACTGTCCAGAGGGCCAAGAACTCCAGGAGATCGAGAAAAACGTTCTCCATCTCAACGACGTATGCTACATAAACGACTCAATGGGTCTTCACCGAGTGGAAAATCCTAGTGCAATTAACCCCGCAGTCTCCCTCCACCTCTACTCACCGCCGTTCACCACGTGTTCGATATTCAACCAGAAGACTGGCCAGAGAATGCCCAGCAAAGTGACCTTCTGGTCCAAGTATGGAGAGCGTCGTAATCGGGTGAGTTTCAGAAATTGTCGGACTAAAATCGTCAATTCCAAGGTGATTTCCAATTTTTTTTTCGTTGCATTCTTTCAGGAGATACAGGAAAACAGGTGTCCAGAGGACAATTGATGCAGTTATCCCACGAGGACAAGAGACAAATGGGTTTATGCATGATTTTTTTTCGAATAAAATGATGAAATGCGAAATTCTCTATCTCTTTATTTTGAATTTGAAAAATTATGAAAAAACTGAGAAGCTACAGACAATCAGAGAAACTTTGTATTATGTCGGAATTGTTCAGTGGCTTTTCAATTTTTTATTAATTATCGGAATAAAAAATATGTATTTGATATTTTTCACCCTATTTTTTATTGCCAGCACTAAAAAACGTCTAGAATATGACGTAATGATGCACAATTTTTTCCTTATTTATAAAAAAAATCAAATATTTTTCATTCAATTCTTATATTCAGAAAAAATAATCCTGCAAAACCCAATTAATTATCCAATAAGCTTCGATTTTATACTCATGATTGTTACTTCATGTAATTTGTCATTGTAATGTGTAAAGAGTCTATCCAACTATTTGTAAATAAATATTGAAAATGTTAACATGAACCAGAATGCGTTTGGAAAATCACACTTCACGTGAATGACTGCGGAAATTGATCGCAATTCATGAATTAACAAGGTTATCGTATCTATATCACGACCTGGGGTGACTTTTCACTGATAAAATCTAGATCAATTCGCTGTGGGATCGCTCGTGCCAATACCACAATCGCAATTACGAAATTTCGCGATGATTTTTATCAATATTGAAGTCATGTGTTTTTAACGAGAGATTAAATTCCGGCGAATTCACTCGATATTTTAGGGCTGGCTTATTGCACATCGTAAATTGTGCCCGTTGTTTCGACGTGATATTTATTACAGGATGACGTTGGAAACAAAAGATAAATTAATTAGAAATTATCCAAAATATCGATAAAATGCACAGAAATTATGTATGAAGATGATGATCAGATCCTTGGATTTTTTCACGGGGAAAGTTGACTTTCGGAAAAATCGAATTTTTTCGCCGAGCGAACGTTGATTCTGTATTTACTAACGATTCTGATGCCAATGAAACATTTGGAAGTCTCAGAAATGCAGAAATAAAAATTTTTCTTTCGCCCGGAACCAAAGTGTCAGATCTTGGAATTGGAATAATGGAATCGTTTAAAATTACAGTTTGATTTTATCCATCAAATTTTGAATTCCCGAAATTCCTTTAAATTTTCATGAAACTGTTCGCTTAATAAAAATTTCCAAGGCACGTACCATGTACCATAAAATTACAGGCAAAAATTTCTAAAAATATAACTGAGTCATTATCCACCGAATCATTTCAAAAAAGGAACAAGAATTTGATCGAAATTGAAATTGTGCAGTGGGGGATTCCCAATTCCAAGACCTGGAAACTCCAATATTTACATTGGAAATTTCGTTTTACAGTGCATAGGGTGCGATCCAAAGAGGATTGACATCCTCTTTGGTGCGATCGGCGAAAATGAAGAATTTTGACTTTTTTTTGCATCCCGCTTTCCATGTAATCTATACATGCGATTTAATGCGAAGCGTGAACCTCGCGATTTCTCGCGAAGTGTGAACTTCGCGATTCAATTCGAAGTGTGAAGTTCGCGATTTAATGCGAAACGTGAACCTCGCGATTCAACGCGGAGAGTGAACCTCGTGATTTAACGCGAAGCGTGAACCTCGCGATTTAACGCGAAGCGTGAACCTCGCGATTTAACGCGAAGCGTGAACCTCGCGATTTAACGCGAAGCGTAAACCTCGCGATTTAACGCGAAGTATGAACTTCGCTATTTGACGCGAAGTATGAACTTCGCGATTTAACGCGAAGCGTCAACTTTGCGATTAACGCGAAGCGTGAACTTCGCGATTTAACGCGACGCGTGAACTTTGCGATTTAACGCGAAATGCAAATTTCGCGAATTCTCTCGAAGATCGTCGGCATTTGAAAATACCTGTTACAATTGTGGTTTCCACCATCCCCCTCCTATTCCATTTCATCAACAGTTGAATGAATTATCAACACATAAAAAAAACATAAAAAATGTCCACATTGCCCCACCCCGAATAAATCGATATTCAAAAATCCCGACGTTTAAATCACTCTCCGCCTTACCGACCGCCACTTCTACTGTTTCTACCGCAGATAATGAAGGTTTACTCACTCATGACAGGTGTCAACAGCTGATGGTAAGCTCTCCACTGACACGTGCGCACGTGACAGCTACCAAAATCCTGGAACACAAGAGTTTTCGTTCTTCAATCCTTTCAATCATGAATATGCCTAATTAGCCAAGTTTTCCCAAATTATTAATTTCCCACTGGAGTTTCCCCGAGTCCACTAACCCCAGTCGGCAGATTCCGTCGCGATGTCCACCAATCCCCGTCGACCCGAGCCCCCACCAGCCCCACGACACAGCCATGGTTTCGACGGAGGCCTGAAGCCAAGCGAGAGTGGAGCCACTCGCATAACAATTTGTCTCGCAAGTGGAGACTTCGTACCCCAGAAAAAAGTGTAAAAAAAATTTCTAATCCCCGATTAATTTTAAAAAAAAGCCCCAAGTGACCAGTGAAGTGACTTATGTAGAGAAAAAAAATGTAACATGGCGATGGTTGCGTCAAACATGAGTGGCCACATACAGAAGCAACTCACCAGGAGTCTGGAGAGAATCCTGGAGGAGGCACACCTCAGCGGTGAGCTCCGACTGAGCGGTCGTAAGCTCAAGGATTTTCCCAAAGTGGGAAAGACCGGCGGAACAAAATACAATCTCTCCGATACAATAATCGCAGGTGAGACAGTCCTATTTTTTTGTTTTCACCTGTTTCCCTTTTCTATTATTCACCAGTCGGCTATTTCCTGTCTATCCTTATCGGATCAGAAACGATACAAGGTTCAGCGCGTCAGGTTTAACGGGCGTTGAAATTCCTGGGGGCTTAACCTCAAAAATTTATTTATCACGATTAAATAAATTGAATTAATCCATTAAGCTGAAACTGGCGAAAAATTCACCAGCTGTAGATGTGATTTGGGTGAATGTAGGGGTGGACTAATATTTTTAAATCGAAGGGAAAATTTTTGCAGTTGAAAAAAGGTTGTTCACATAATTTTTTAATATTTCACTAGTTTCAGCTTCATTTTACCCATTGATGATGTTTTTTTATTTTTACCGAAACCTCAGCAAGAGTTTTGACTTTTAATGGAAAGAATTTCCGTCAGTAGAATGGAAATTTCGATGTAACAGCAAAAAATCCCCCGCAACAGTTTAAAAATGCAAACGAAAGACCCGAAAAAGACAACAAAAAAATTAAATTCATAGAGAAGATTATATTTAGGCGAATCTAGGGGTGTACAAATACTTTGCAGCCACATGCAAAGCCTTTCGCAGTTGAAAAATTGTTCATATGATTGTTCAACCCTTAAACCCTCAAAAATTCTCAAAATAAAAATTTTCGCTTTCACTATTCCCCAAGTTTCAGCTTCATTCTTCACTCAATGATGAAATGTTTTTTTTTGTTATCAAAACATCAGCAGAAGCTATTACTAGGACCAGAAAGAATTTCAATCATTAGAATGAAAAATGCAAATGAAAGACCCGAAAGAGAAAACAAAAAAAATTAAATTCATAGAGAAGATTATATTAGGCGAATTTGGGCTTGAAAACATCTGTGTATAAATGTTTTTAAGCCATATGCGAAGTCGCTCGCAGTTGAAAAAGATTGTTTAAATGATTGTTCAACCCTTAAACCCCCAATTATCCCCAAAACTGAATTTTTCGCTGTCGAATATTCCTCCAATTTTGGCTTCATTCTTCCCCCAATGATTATTCCCCCAAGTTTTTACATCTACCAGATCTACCAGAAAGGATTTTAATGATTGGAATGAAACCGTCCTTGCAACAGCAAAAAATCTCCCTCAGCAGTTCGAAAATGCAAATTGAAGACCCCAAACAAAAAATATAAATAAAATTCGTAGAGAACCGGAAAAGGCTCGGCAGGTATCAGCATACGAATGTGAAGAAGAGTTCAACCGCCACCTGACATTCAGCCCATACAAAAGGCGTCAAACCTCCTCATCTGTAAATTAACAAACCCAACATGATCCCGAGGCGTGTGGGAAACCCCTCGACTTTATTTTCCTTTTTCCTCCATAACCCCACGATCTATGAATAGACCCCGTTCAGCATATCGCGGTTAAAACGTCGCCCTTCTGGAAAGCGTTACTAAGAGAGTCCCAAACAGCTTCAACATTTTTTTTTTCTCTCCCTCCCCCCCCCTCAGGAGTATTGAACTCTCCTGCGACTACGACTTCCCGAACAAATAAAACGTTTGTCTCTAATCGTAAAACAAAACTGTAAAGTGGAATTAAAATTGCGCACAAATCCTCGACAGTTCAAATTTCCTGAAATTCATGCGAGAATAATCTCTCGAATTCACGCTGACTTTCACGAATATTCCGTTGCTTTCACGAGTCGTTAACACGAATATGATACTGTGATGTAAAATGGCCCCAGGGACAACCGTTCGAGAATGGCAATGTAAAAAAAACCGTGCGAGTCACCGGCCACCGCTTGCTGGCACAAAGACAGGTGCGCAAAACCGGAAATGTCGATTCCAGCCCTTAATTACCCCTCGCCAAAATCATTCCAGTCCGTTTCCAATTCTCCCGAATACTCACAAGGAAAAAAAAACAATTCAATTGAACGAATCAGTGACTTTGACAAAGCATTCGTCCTCGAATCGCGTTGAAATTCATTCGACACGTACCATCTATGGGATATCAACAGACCTTTTTAAATCGTCAGTTATTCCGGACCAGATGATCTGATTTGGATGAATCACGGTTCGTTTTAAATTGTAAAAAAAAATACCTTGAAAATAGAGGAAATTCACTCAGCGGTTCTCAAGTTAATGACGATTGAAGAAGATCAAAAGAAGAATGTAACGTTTTTTGTCATCAATCTGTTTTGTCATGCTTGACTTACGGGTATTTCAAGCCTAATTTGAACGTTATCTTAAAAAAATAAAGTGGT